GCGCGCGCGCGCTTGATGTTCTGTGGCACTTTGCTGTCAGCACTTCATCTTCGGAATCGGACCCATCCTCTTCCGATGAACTACCATCGTAGTACAACAGCAGAGGGAGCTGTTGGAGGCTTCTGGCGGCGTCCGGTAGGCCCTGAAACGGGGGCATTTTTGGGGGGCGGCCTACAACCCGAAACACGTCCTAGGCCCCCCCCTAAAAAAAATGGGCCCAATCCGGACCTACCGGACCAGACACCGGACCCATACCCAGACAACTGGACCGTCTGGATTCCGGTCCAGACGCTGTCTCTTATACACATCTAGATGTGTATAAGAGACAGGAAGAAGAGTAGGAAAATGCTGGGGCTATCAATGATAGAATGGAGGTACATAACAACAGTGTATATAATAGAGTCATGAAAGACTATATACAGCAAATTCAGGGATAGGAGCGGGGGGAAATATCAGATAGAGATAGAAATGAGTCAGGGGAGATAGACAAATGTATGATAGGATGGACTGGGAGGTAGGTGAGGTTTGGAGTGGTAATAAATAGTTGCTGAAGGGATAAGCGGCCACAGGGACTGATCTGAGATCCCCCCCCGTACGCCGTGCCCCGCGATGGACCACCCTATTGCATGTCTGGGTGCTGCTAGTAAGCCTCCCGGCCAATAGGGTTATCCACCGTGAAGGGACAAAGGCTTTGGGGTCAGAAGTACAGAAGGAGCCCCCCCCTTGTTTAGGCGGCTAGTGCCACGAGGGCTGGGGTGATCTTCTTTTTCTCGTCTTTTCGTCTATTGGCTTTGTAAAAACATGCTTGCCGGGCATAAGTAACCGGACTGGTGCCCCCCAGAAGGGCCTTGTGTTGAAAAAAAAAAAAAAAAAAAAAAAAAAAAAGAGGTGGTAGTGCAGATGCTGCAGATGTTCAAGACTCTTAAAAAAAAAAAAAAAAAAAGAGAAGAAGAAGAAGAAGAAGAAGTAATAAACAGTACTAAACAGTGCTAAACAGTACTAAACTTAGTACATTAGTAATAAACAGTACTAATACTACTAAACACAAGTGAAGTCAGTTCAATGAACACAATCGATGGCAGTTGCCAGTAAGGGGACGAAACTTAGTACTTACTGTCTTTCACTATTCACAACTTGACAAAGGCTTCATACTGTCACAGAGTCACAGACATTCACAAAGGCTCACAAAACACTAGAAAGTTGAAACCAGTTCTCAACACTGGAAAGTGGAAACCAGATCTCAACACTAGAAAGTTGAAACCATTTCTCAACACTAGAAAGTTGAAACCAGTTCTCAACACTGGAAAGTTGAAACCAGATCTCAACACTAGAAAGTTGAAACCAGTTCTCAACACTAGAAAGTTGAAACCAGTTCTCAACAGACCAATGCCAAGACACTTCACAAAAGAGTACAAAAATCAGAAAGAAACAGAACTTGGAACTATGAAGGTAGACTTCTTTCTAATTCATATTCATATGAAAATTGAAAATTTAAACTGTGAAGTTATTCAGATTTGCGAAGAAGTTTAAGAACAGATCTGAGATCTGGCCAAGACCAGATCTAAGACAGGATTTCAGATCCGACCAAAATCATG